CCTGGAAGATTAGAGGGTACATGTGACCTGCTGGTTTATGCTGCTGAGACTAGAGTTCAGATAGTCCAGAGAAGGTCACTCAAGCCCGAATGGTTTGGGGCTCAAGTCTGCCTGCTGGTTGATGTTGCTGAGACTAGAGCAAGTTAGGATTGGTCACTCAAGCCTGGATGGTTAGAGGCTCAAGCTCACATGACTGCTCACGTTGCTACGACTAGAGCTGGAATTGGTCACTCAAAGATGGTTAGATGCCCAGATCCACCTGCTGGTTCATGCACCTGAGGCTAGAGCTAGTATTGGGCACTCGAACTCGGATAGTAAAAGGCTGAAATCCACCTAGTAACTCATGCTGCTGAGACTAGAGCTAGGATTGGTCATTCCAGCCTGTGTGATTAGAGGCTGAAGTTCACTATCGCTGAGACTAGACTAGGATTGGTCACTCCAGTCTTGATGTTGAGAGGCTCAATGCTGATGCGGCTCAGATTAGAGCTTTCCGTCAAGCCTGGATGGTTAGAAGCTCAAGTCCACCCACTGGTTCATGTTGCTGAGACTATAGATACCATTGGTCACTCCAGCCCGGATCGACGGTTTGAGGGTGAAGTTCACTGTTGTTGAGACTAGCACTAGAATTGGTCATAAAAGCCCGGATGTTGAGAGGCTCAAGTTCACCTGCTGGCTGACGTTGCTCAGACTAGAGCTAGGATTTCCATTAAGCCTGGATGATTAAAAGATTAAGTTCACCAGCTGGTTCAAGTTCCTGAGATAAGAGCTAAAATTGTTCACTCCAACTTAGAGGGTTTGAGGCTCATCAAGTCTACCCGTTCGTTCATGTTGCTGAGACTCGAGCTGGGATTGGTCTCTCAAGCCTGGATGGTTACACTGTGAATCTCAACGCCGTGAATTTGGAGTGATATATATATATATATAATTTGCAATGACTTTATGGGAAACTTGTTTTCATGGCAATGTCAGGGCAGATTATCTGTTGAAATCACTGTGAAATAATCCCCTGCGTGACCCGGTGAGGACATGCTAGGCTTCAGTAAAAACACCGCAAAAACACAGTGAAGCCTCCCGAGAAGCCCAGCTCATTAACTTTGCGGTTGCCTTAATATGTTGATCAGTTCCCAGGTTTTATGGGCTTACTCTCTCTTACGAAGTGGATACTCGTTAAACTTCGATGAGTCAGATCCAGGCAAGAGCTACGGCAGCACTGCATCGTCTTGGGCGTAATGACCGTAAGGCTGCTAAAGGTTTTCATGAAATTTCAGCCCCGCATCAAAAAAGTCCATCATATTCAGCACTTCCAAAATAACTGCGTCAAAAAGTCCAACAATGCTTAGAAAGTTCTTGGAAAATGGCATTAAAATATAAACCTCAGTTTTGTCCACTCGGCACTTGCCAGTTGCTGCTCGGTATCGGCATTATACCCCCCGACGTTACAAACGAAATACATTGCATGAGATACAGCCGCTCGCACGCACAACCTTTTGACCACATTTCCCTTCACTGTTTTAATCACATGCAGTAACGGCATAGTATACTTGTACTCGTCACTGGAAATGTACAAATAACATACCCAGAACCAGTTAATAGCTAAATACTGTATGAATCATGCAGCGGATTGCGCTGAAGATAAGATCATGTGATCGCAAGGATGGAAGAACTGTGTGGTACAAAACCTGTTATGCAGAATTGTTAGAAATGATCCAAAACACCAAAGTCTTGAATGAATCTTGAATAAATCGGTAAGTCCAAAAATGAAACTTGTGCCCATTCTTGTGCATTTTTTTAAGATAGATTTCGGGCTGCCCTGCTTGTGTTTGTGTAGGCACACAACCACAGTACAGTACATGTACGTGCCATTCAAGCACGCGTTTGTCGGTACATGCACTTTTACAGTCCCGGCAGTTCACGCTTGTGCATTCCTTCCCCGCGCCAGTGCATTCATTTTGCTTTTCATGTCTTCGATTACATTTTGATTGAAAGGCCCCTATCTTAGGTCTGCAGTGGCCTGAGGGGATGAAGGGAACAGGAAACTTTCCATGTACGTTGCGCTGTTTTCCCCAAAGTTTTCTTAAACACTTTCTCCAGCGAATGCTGTTTTCAAGTTAATATTATCACCATTTTTCGACAGACATTTTTTCACCCGCATAATCATTTTTACACCTGTAAACATGTGCCATGTGTCATGAACGACAATACCCCATTGCGGTATACAATTGTGACTTGTATCTTGTCAGATATAATTTTTCAGCAAATTTCAATAGTCCCTGGCCAGTCGGTAACAACATATTCCTATCACAAGTATCAGCCCTAGCAGTGGTACAGCCTGACAAATCACTCGGAAGAAATAAAATTGCATTCAAGACCTTGTTAATTTGGAAAACACTGAAATATTTCGCCAAGATTTGCAGTTTTCAAGAATGGACGTTTTTATTAAACACCAACGTACGATTAAGTTCCAGTGTAATGTTCACGCAATTAATGAAAGAAACCACGTGAATTAAATGCAATGGTGTTGTACATATACATTGTTTGGAAACGTCTTTGGTTGGAAAGGATCAAGTGGACCAAAGTATCTTTTTCCTCCTAATTTTTGGACACTTGAATGCAAGACCTTTGTGGGGCAGTATATGATCCAATGGGTGCTTACGACATCTTACGTCAAGTTTCTCGGAATTAGAGCGACCGGTCTGGATTTTGAGGCCAAAAAAACAAATTTGTATATTGCAGCTGTTGGCAAGGACCAAGTGGACCAAAGCATCATTTTTCCTCNNCTAATATTTGTAAACTTAAATGTGGGATCTTTGTGGTCCAGTATGTGATCCGATGGGTGCTTACGATATTTTACATAAAGTTGGGTCTCTGTTTTTCAAGATCCTGAGAACTTTTTTCAAGCAGTGGCAGTGCATGTGAAATTGGGCAAAAAATGCTCTGCGCATTCGATGAATCACAGTGATATGTACAGTACATACACTAAATGTACATGTATGTACAAGATTTTGGCCATGTCCGAATCACTTGGCTGCGGTATGAAATGACCACCGATCTACGCTGGCTGCCGCGGCTTACAGCTCTGTGATTTGGACATCACGCGCGGCACACAAACTGCATCTACATCCACCGCGACATCCTGACTGCTACTGCGTGCCAATTCACGGACAGTCTAATTGCTGATTTTCCCAATAACCATGTGACCACAGAAAGTGACAGGTCATTAGAAAACCCAACTGAAAATAGATCCGATACATCATGCTGAACGCAATGGGCAAAAAGACTGGATTTGTTAAACCAAGACACACTTAAAATTTATGCGGCTGATTTTATTTAACGGTAGAAAGAGAAATTTGGGTAACAAAATACTACATGTAGTATCTCAGTGTTAATTATTGTGTCCCAAACTACACCCCCAGATTAAATAAAAAGTGCAAAAATAATCACCCCAGGAAAGCCACGCAGGAGCGGCTCACCATGGTGAGCACGTGCTCGCAATCGCACTGCATGGATAGTGTGGGTGTCTGCACTCTATGTGATCGCAAAAACATCTACTGGCCGGCTAGTTGCAGCCAGGCGGCCTTGCGATTCGGTTTGTATGCTTTGAGTTTTACAGAATCTGATTTTCCAAGGGCTTACTTTGACATGTAAGGAGGTTTCACGGTGAATTACATACAAACCATATTTTCAAGGTGTTGAGATTCATAGTGTTAGAGGCTCACGTTCACCTGCTGGTTCATTTGTATCCATGAGCAAGATATTTTGTTTTCCTTTGCTTCTAAAAAGTGTAATATGGGGGGCTATTTACTGTAATACTTACAGAAATGTAGAAACAACTGGACGATCATTCTTGAAAAAGTTGATCAGGGATCTACGATGACTTAAGGTAAGTCAATGGCACCATATAGAAGGCAAAACAATGAATCCTGGTGGGGAAAAAGAAGGGGAAATGTATAAATCAGTGATGTCAAATTTTACTCAAACACAACTTGGGAAAGCTTCACCAGTGAAACATCAACAATATCGTCTGCTTTTGTAGATAGCGCGAAGTGTCAGATCCTCTGTCTTTGAGTCTGTACTTCATGCAAATGCAAATGCAAATATCAAAGGAAATTTGATGCCAAGAGCAGTAGCGTTACTAAGGGGAGCCCCCCGGCCCGTGCCCCCCATGTTCCCCCCCATCACAAATAAAAGAAGAAAAAATCTTGTGACTGTCCATCTTAGTCAGTGTTCTAACTGTGACTGCACCCCACCGAGTGCCCCCTCTAGAAAATGAGGGCACCTCAAAGCCCCCCTGCAAATTAAACCCTGCTTACACCACTGAGTACAAGAGAAACATTCTCACCGTGGACATTGCTCTCAAACGGTAGTGTACATATCTGTCATGTACATGTTCTGTGATTCCAACATGTGCCGTATGGTGTCAGCATCAGGTCTTTCCCTTGTACTGCAGGCACGAAAGTTGACGGGCCAGGAAACTCCATCATGTGGGATGTTTAAATGCAGGTAACAGTCAGGCATCAGCACTGTGAACGTAATAAGAATTTTTAAAACTGGGTTTATGAATACCAAATAACATTTCTCTGCAATATGGCATGAAATATCATGACAATTAACATATTTTAGTGCTGGAAAGGTCTTTAAATTGGTTTCCAGATCTTTGCAGGATTTCCGCTTGTACCAATCAGAACCCACCCAACCTGGTACTCCTTTTACTGCCCAGCACAGTATGGTTTATTTATTCAACCTTGACTGATTATGATCCAAGACTAGACTTAGGATTAGTCACTAAAGCCTGTATGTTGAGAGGCTCAAGTTCAACTGTTGACTGATGTTGCTTGACTAAAGCTAGGGTTTCCATCAAGCCTGGATGGTCAGAGGCTCAAGTTCACCTGCTGATTCATGTTGCAGAGTCTACAGCTTGGATTGGTCACTCCAGTCTGGGTGGTTACAAGCTCAAGTCCACCTGCTGGGTCACGTTGATAGTTAGAGGCTTAAGTTGATGTGCTGGCTCATACTGCTGAGACTAGAGTTGGAATTGGTTGCTCCGGCCTCAATGGGTAGAGGCTCAAGTCCACCTGCTGGTTCATGTTGCTGAGACTAGAGCAAGGATTGGTCACTCAAGCCTCGATGGTTAGAGGCTCAAGTCCACCTGCTGGTTCATGTTGCTGAGACTAGAGCAAGGATTGGTCACTCCAGCCTGGATGTTGAGAGGCTCAGGTTCACCTGCCGGCAGATATTGCTGAAACTAGAGGTAGGATTATCACTCAAGCCTGGATGTTGAGACACTCAGGTTCACATGCTGGTTCATGTTGCTGAGACCAGAGCTAGGATTGGTCACTTAAGTCTGAATAGTTTGAGGCTCATCGGGTCCACCTGCTTGTTGATGCTGCTGGGACTATAGATACGATTGGTCACTCTGGCCCAGATGGTTTGAGGCTGAAGTTCACTGTAGCTGAGACTAAAGCTAGAATTGGTCACTCCAGCATAGATGCTGAGAGGTTCTGGTTCACCTGCTAGCTTACCTTGCTTAGATTAGAGCTAGGGTTTGTCATTAGGGCCTGGAAGGTTAGAGGCTTGTGTCTACCTGCTTGTTAATCCTTCTGAGACTAGAGCTAGGATTGTCCACTCCAACCAGGACAGTTTGAGGCTCATCAAGTCTACCTACTAGTTCATGTTGCTGAGACTAGAGCACGGATTGGTCACTCAAGCCTGGATAGTTAGACACTCATGTCCACCTGCTGGTTCATGTTTCTGAGACTGGAGCTGGGACCGGTCACTCCAGCCTAAACGGGTAGTGACTCGAGTTCACCCGGTTGCTGATGTTGCTGAGCCTAGAAGGCTAGGATTGGTCACTCCAGTCCGGACGGATAAAGGCTCAAGTCCACCTGCTGGTTCATGTAGAGACGAGACCTAGGATTAGTCATGCAAGCCTGGATGGTTATCAAGGCTAAGGTTGGCCTGCTTGCTCATGTTGCTGAGGCTAGAGGTACATGTAGGAATAGTCACTCCAACCTTGATGCTAAGAGACTTATCAAGTCTACCTGCTGGTTCATGTTGTTGAGACTAAAGCTTGGACTAGTCAATCAAGCCTGGATGGTTAGAGGCTCATCTTCACCTCATGGCTCATGTTGCTGACACTAGAGCTAGGATTTGTCACTCCGGCCTGTATGGTTAGAGGCTAAAGTTCATCTGCTGGTGCATGTTGCTGAGACTAGAGCTAGGATTGGTCACTCAAGCCTGGATGGTTAGAGGTTCAAAGTTCAACTGCTGGCTCAAGTAGCTGAGACTAGAGGGTAGGATTGGTCACTACAGCCTGGATGGTCTGAGGATCAAGCTCACCTGACTGCGGCTCATGTTGCTACAGCTAGAGGCAAGGATTGGTCACTCCAGCGTGGACGGTTAAAGGCCCAGGTCCACCTGCTGGTTCATGTACCCGAGACTAAAGCCAGTATTGCGCACTCAAGCTGGTATAGTAAAGGCTGCAGTCGTGTCACCTGCTAGCTCACATTTCTGAGAATAGAGCTAGGATTTGTCACTGAAGTCTGGATGGTGAGAGGCTTACAGTACATTGCGATTGAAAGTTCATACCAAAGTGTGAAAAATATTCACATTTTTTCTCTTCCCAGGGAATTCCTTTTCATTTCACAAATTGTGAAAAAGTGTGCCAAAAGTGGGAAAATATTTTCACACCTTTTCACACAAATGGGAAAATATTTTCACAGATTTTCCCCCCAGTGGGAAAAGATTTTCACGCTTTTTCCCACAAATGGGAAACAAATTTTCACAGATTTTCCCACAAGTGGGAAAAGATTTTCACAGACTTTCCCACAAGTGGGAAAAGATTTTCACACTTTTTCTCAGAAGTGGGAAAAGATTTTCACAGATTTTCTCTGGTAGTGGGGAAATAATTTTGCAAGCTTTCTTCATTAAGTAGTATTTGTGCATGTACATGTAGACATCAGGAAGTTTTTGTTCTCTGTGGTTTCAAACATGCGCATCTCTGAATACGGAAAGTGGAGGAAATTCAGTCTGAGAGAAAAGTTCTTCAATTCTCAGGAATATTCAGATTACTTGAGGAAGACAGCATTAAAATTTCAATGCAGTACGTTTCTCGGTTTTGAGCAAAATACAATGCGACAGGAGAAATCAAAACTGGCTATGGTGGAGGTTGGAGACCAACACTGAACACCGAACAGCTGAATTACAGTAAATTGCCATCATATAGTGCTCTCTTACATGTTTTATAAGCGTTAAAATTAACCCACTTGGATGGATACTCAACATGTGCACCGCATATGTGCATATGTACAGATACAGATACATGTACATGTATCCACATGTCGTCATGTATGTGAATTGCATTTATATGTATTGGCAAATGTATGTACTGTAATTTCAGAATAAATGCCTTGTATCCTGTTACATGTATCTCGACATTTTCATGACGCCGATCAAAAAATATAACCAAATCTCTTCAAAACCGCCACGGGACCTTGTGCATGCCGCACCGCATCACGAAGCACACACTGCATCTACACCTACCCCGACATCCTGACTGCTACTGCATGCCCATTCATGGACAGTCCAATCGCTGACTTTTTCCAATAACCATGTGACCACAGAAAGTAACATGTCATCAGAAACCCAAGTGAAAACAGACCCAGTATGTCACACCAAACACAATCGGCGAAGACGAGATTTGCTACATGAATATACGCGTACAATTTAAACAGTTGATTTTATTAGTCAATTGTAAGAAACCTTTGGGTAACAAAATACTACATGTAGTATTTCATTGTTGATTTTTTTGTGTGCCAAACTAAACCACGAGAATAAATAAGAAGTGGGCAAATAACCCATGTCGCCACAGCAGAGCAAGTTAAGTTTGTTGTAATACACACATTTCATGTGCTCCGTGACTCCATGACTTAGGGACTCCCCTTTAATTACTCAAAATCCAGACAACTTTTTAAGCATTTATTCTCCAACATTGACGATTGTTTATCTGTGGTAATCCAAGAAAACAACTGCGCCACGCGGGCGCGGCTCGCCGTGGTGAGCACATCCCCGCAATCGCGCTGCATGGACCAGACGGCTCCGCCGAGGAAATCGCTACTATAGACTACAACAGCACATCGAGTTGGCCCCGACCGGCCCCAAGCGCAGCGCAGCCTGCATTATGGACTCTTCACTGCGTAATAGTCGTGCACGAGTGGCAAATGTTGAGCATTTTCGCTGCACAATACAATGCTTCTCGTTTTTGCAAGTTTCCGCATGATTTTCGGAACCATTCGCACCGCTTTTGCAAAATGTTCACACTGTTTTCGCACACTGTTTTTTCTCAATGTTTTCGCAAATGTTTCATGTCTTGCTCACAAAAGATTCGCACCATTTTTGCATGATTTTCGCACTGTTTTTGCACGTCGTTCACCCCTTTCGCATCCGATTCGCTGCAAATTTGCAGGGGGGGAAAGTTGTGGTCAAAATGCGAATGCGAATGTGAATTCCTTTCGCTTTTTTCCCATTCCTTTTCGCGAAAGCGTTAACTTTCAAATGCAACGTACTGTATTAAGCCCACCTGCTGGTTTACGTTGCTGAGACTAGAGCTAAGATTGGTCACTCCGGCCTGGATGGTTAGAGGCTCATGTGCATCTGTTGCTGTGACTAGAGCTAGGGTTTCCATCAAGCCTAGATGGTTAGAGGCTCAAGTTCACCTGCTGGTTCCTGTTGCTGAGACTAAAGCTAGAATTGGTCTCTCCAGCCTTGATGGTTAGAGGCTCAAGTCCACCTGCTGGGTCATGTTACAGAGACTGGAGCTAGGATTTGTCACCCCAGCCCAGATGCTGAGAGGCTCAAGTCCACCTGCTGGGTAATGTTACAGAGACTGGAGCTAGGATTGGTCACCCCAGCCTGGATGCTGAGAGGCTCAGGCTCACCTTCTGGCTTATATTGCTGGGACTAGAGCAAGGATTATCACTCAAGCCTGCACAGCTAAAGGCTCGGGTCAACGTGCTTGTTCATCCTTCTGAGACTAGAGCTAGGATTTTTCACTCCAACCTGAATGGTTTGAGGCTCATCAAGTCCCCCGCTGGTTCATGTTGCTGAGACAAGAGCTGGGACTATTCACTCCAGCCTAGATGGGTAGTGACTGACTCAAGTGCACGTGCTTGCTCATATTGCCGAGACTAGAGTTAGGATTGGTCACCCAAGCCTGGATGGTTGTAGGCTAATCAAATCTACCTGCTGGTTCATGTTGCTGAGATTAGAGCTTGAATTGGTCTCTCAAGCCTCGATCGTTATAGGCCCTGGTTGTCCTTCTGGTTCATGTTGCTGAAACTAGAGCTAGGATGGGTCACTCACGCTTGGATGGTTAGAGGATCAAGTTCACTTGCTGGCTCATGATGCCGAGACTAAGTCACTCAGGCCTGGATTGGTCACTCTGGTCTTGATGGTTAGGGGCTAAAGTCCACCTATTGTTTCATGTTGTATCCATTAGCAAGAGACTTCGTTTTCATTACTGCAATACTTACAGAAATGTAGAAACAACTGGATGATCACTCTAAAGAAAGTTGATCAGGGATCTGAGATGACTGTTAAAAGGTGCGTCAATGGAACCATAAAGAACACAAAACAGTGAATACTCATGGGAAAAAGAACAGAAAACATATAAATGAGTGATGTGGAATTTTACAACAACTTGGGAAAGCTTCCCCAGTGAAACATCAACAATACTGTCTGCTTTGATTGACAGTTAAAAGTGTTAGATCCTCTGTGTTTGAGTCTGTACTTCATCCAAATGCAAAATCAAAGCAAATTTGACGCTAAGAAGAGTAGCGTTACTAAGGGGGAGCCCTGCAGGCCCATGCCCCCATGATCCCCCTCCCCATCACAAATTAGAAATGAAAAAATCAGGTGACTGTCCTTCTTGGTCAGGGTTCTAACTGTGACCGAACCCCACCGAGTGCCCCCTCTAGAAAATGCGGGCACCCCAAGTGCCCCCTTGCAAATTAAACCCTGCTTTGAGCACGAGTGAAACATTCTCACCATAGACGTTGCTCTCAAATGGTAGTGTGCATACATGTATCAGCAATGTTCTGTGATTCCAAAAGGTACCGTGGGGCATCAGCATCAGGACAGGTACTGCAGGCACGGAAGTTAACGAGCCAGGAAACTCGATCATGTGGAATGTTCAATGCAGACAAATAGTCAGGCATCAGTGCTGTGAACATAACGAGAAATTCAAGATGTGGCAATAATATTGCTTCACAGAACAGAATTTCCTTAAGTCATGAACTTGTCCTTGGCAATATTAAGGCTCAAGGTTTCCTGCCGAGTCAAATTATACTCAGCTTCTCTGACTGGAGAGATACAAAAGATACATTAAGACCACCTGGAATTTCACTAGTGCATTTACAGTACTTCTGTCACCGGGCCTGCAATACATTGTTTCATTGAATGATTACTTCACGTTTTTACGGTGGTCCATAACATCAGTGTAGCACTTTACTTGAATTAAATTAAATCTTCTGCAAAGGCAGGTCTTGTAGGACAGTTTGTCTTTAATTAAGGCAGCATGAGTAAAAAAAAAAGCCAGTCTAGGTACTCAGAAATAAAGGAGGGCACACAAATATTATACTGTCAACATTTCAAATTATGGAAATGCAGTAAAATACATGTACAGTTGCTGTAACCAAGACATGAGGGTTAAACACTGAAAACAAACGTAACGTTGATTTTTCTTCGGGTTAATGCATTTTGTATGGGTGGTTGTAAACTTTTCCAAATGACTGTGCATACATGCTGCCGTGTTGTGGAGCAAATTCTGTATGCCGTCTGTGACAAACGAAAAATGCTCGTATCAAGTACATGTACTGCTTGAACATCTCGGCGTGTCTGTGCATATCTGTCACTCCGGATATGCCTCACATACATGTAGGTTGCATTGGGGATGGTCTCTCTGATGAACAAATCACGGATGCAACGTGGTCATGGGCTGGTGGAGAAACTACTCAAAGACGGATTTGAAGGTTTAAATAGAGCGGAGTTGATCCCCTGGGGATCCAATTTTTTCTAATTACGTAATTAAAAAAAAAATTTCGGCCAAATGCAAAGACCTCCTGTTAATTTTACTCTCTGTAGATGCTGAAGGTCGGGTTTTAATACAGTACCCTCTAGACAAGTCTCATAGGTTTGTGCTTGGGGGCATCGAGTGTTGTCCGAATATGGAGCTCTTACCAAATAGTACACTGCTTGAAGTTTAGCAGGAGTTTGGCTACACATGCAGGTCAGTATAAGTAGATGGAAAAATGGCAACCATAAAGACCCACATGTAGTGAAGTTTACCAAAAAAAATGTAATTAAATTAATTTAGCACACCATTGGTGGCAAACGGCTGGCAATTCATCAGTAAAACAAGGGACACACCTGTAGATTTTCTTTCCTCGGATAAGCCATCAGAACAGAAAGAAAATGGCTTGAGAGTTTAGTGCAGAGATGTGGTTGGGCTTCAATTGGGTTGACATGCCAACTGAGGAAGTGGCCATTGCCTGCAGCGGCCAAAGATGCCGAGTTGAAAGATGACGGAGAACTGCAAGGTATCACTGATGCCACACCCTAGAGGATGATGGTCAGTCTGAGTGATAATTCAGGGAAGTCATGCTAATAAGATGCACAAATTTGGAGTGTGGTTGGCAGATGAATCACTATTGTTGCATCAATGAAAATGAAGGCGAATGGCAGTGCTCTCTCAAGTGTGAAACTACAAAGTCCTACATGTACACACATACAATGTACATGTACAACCATATTGCATTTGCAGCTAGAAGACTCGTGAGGACAGATTGAAGGATCTAGGGTTTCTCCTACAGTGCCAAAGAACAAAGACACAGATCCAGAATGTTAAGCATATGATCGGGTAGTCTGGGGTCCAAGATTACTGCAATCCGATACGCATGCAGTGTGTCTAGGAGTATCTCCAGCCACAATTTAGCAAGATTTAGAGACCAACAATACTTCTTATTTAAAATTTTTAAATGAATAATTTACTTTTTGAATTGTTGTAAGATTTCTGTCACTTTTCATTTGCCTGAATCGGCTTGAAAGACCTCCACAATAAATTTTTTGTCATTTAAAACAAAAGAAATTTTCTTTTCATTTCCATAAGTTTTGCATTCGAATATTCAAATTAGGAAATTAATATTTGGATATTTGATACTCGATCGAATATCCCGAAAATTGAATATGCGGCACAGCCGTAACAGCTACATGTACGTGACACCAAGCATTGCCACAGCCTGCATTCCTCCATGACTGCAACAGGTACTGTGCTCTCGTTAGCTGCAAATTCTTCATTCAGTGCACCAAGAAGTTCCATTTCACAATGTCTGGGTCCTTGCCCCCTGCTGCCATGGTCTAAACCTACGACTCTAGCCATAGGCCTATGGCTCCGTAGCTCCAGTTAAATACTGGTTTTTACCTAACCTGGGTGATGCATGGCTCAGATTATGATCAGTGGTCGACAACAGTGCTGTGATTGACTGCCTTTGGCCAGGGCTCATGCTCTCCAGGAAGACACTACACTGATCTATTACTGCTGGCTCTTGAGACTAAAAACGGTTGGCCCAAAACAGATTTGGCAATTGGTCAACACATACATGTACATGTACTGTCCACTGGACATACGGTACATGTACATGCATGTTTTCAGCCTCTGGCGCTTTGGCCACTCTGCAGCGCTACATGTCCTGCTTGAGTGACAGTATTGAACACTGCACAGACTTTGGCGAACACTGCGCTAACTACATACAATGTATGCATATATGGTGACATACATGTATTGCTGCTTGTATCTAGGTATTATATAGGCCCACCGATGTACCGTAACCGGACCAACTCCAAAGAAATCGGCTCTTCTGCAGTCATCCACTGTACTCATGGTACTAGTGCCATCCTCAATGACATTTTCTGTAACAGCCAGACAGGACAGAGAATCTCATTATTAACCTTAACCCCCTACGGTGTATATAAAATTGTATTGAAATTGGAAGATTTGGGACTGTTAGGGTTAAGCTACAAAATATGTACATGTCTAATATGAGTGATTCCAAGTACACTGTGCCAGCAAGTTGTCACAGAGATGCCTTTTTCAACTTCAGCATCGACAAAAACATGGCCCTCTTGCAATAACCATATTTGAGCATGTGGAGTAAATGTCATTAAGTAGCTCGAGGAAATATGTGACAGCTCATCAGGGCACTGACTACCTCACAAAAAGACCACCATTATTGTGCATTTCCATATATACAGACAACGCTAACTGTCCCTTAAAATGCTATAGCAGCCATCAGAGAGTGATACTGTCCCAAAAAGTGAAATTTAGCTGGGAACTCAGTTTCCCAAACATTTACTTAGAAAACCCTAAAAAAAATTCAGGAAAGTCTAACAGTAATAGGTTTGTGCATAGACGCATCAAGTGTTGTGCAGTAGACTCCAGACCTTGTTCATGTACATGTACCAAAGCAAGTACATGAGATTACAGAGGCTGTGACAATGTATATTATTAACCCCAGGTCCCCAACCCCCTAGGGTGCAGGTAAAATTCTATTGACATTGGAGGATTCTAGTTGGGACTGTTAGGGCTATTGCATCATATGGGCAAAGCCTAATTATCACTAATACTGCATGAGTAATGCACATGTAGAAAGGCATTGTGGGAAGGAAAAGGGGCCATGCCTTTCTACAAGTGTGTAAAATCACCCGTGCAGTGTTTGCGACAATTGATTTAACATACATGTATATATGGCCTAATGCCAAGTTGACTACTTACGTGCATGGTACGTACATGTACAGTACATGTACAGAGAGGCCTACTGAACAGTTTGTTCATGTACAAAACAAGTGCGTCCAAACAGCCAAAAGACATACATGTACATGAACACCATGAACACCATGCCTGGTCCTGAATCTGAATGGTTTGGTCAGCAAAATGTCCTCCAAGACACTTCCACGCCATAACTTCTCGAGCCAGATCGAGTTCAAACCAAGGCTTCTGTATCAGCCTATAATGCTCCATCCTCAAAAATCTGCTCACCTAATACTGAATTAAACGGGATTTCCTGAAAAATACTACGCAGTTTAAGTTCGTGGAGGTAATTTTGATCTTTACAGCTCACAGTCTTTCATTACAAATCTCGCAGTGGCACGGGCGCCGCGTGTACAAGCGAAGCGAGCTGGCGCCCTTTGAAATCTACGGTGGCCAACACGTGCTTCGCAACATATCTTTATTGAATTTGCGAGGGTACATGTATTTGGAGAGCAGAACTGTACATTATTCGAAACAATTTTTTTAAAAATTCGATGCTAATTTTTCTATTAGTCGTTTCCAGTTAATTTTAATAAACGTTTAACATTAGAAACGTGGACACAAATTTTATTAAACAGGTATTTTTTTCTGAAAGTTGAAGTTCCTTGGGCTGTCGTCGCGTTGCGAATTCGTAACAAGTGGAACACATTTTCATTTTTTTTTAAATTTTTTTGTGAAGTCAAGCTTCGTTTTCGCACGCGCCTGAAGTGTAAACCGGCCTTTAACAGACAGATTGACATAAAATGCCAGTTCTGGAGGTTTCAAGGAATCCAATCAGTTCACCAAATTTTGTTTCGATCCGTGATAGTCTGGTCCCCTTGAGGCATGTAGAATTGACACGGACTGACCCATCTCAAAAAGTCTGGAACCAAATAGCCTGCACTTATGACGAATATTGCGAAAAGGCCGTCTAGATCTGGTCTGTTGCAAACAGACAGAAAGCCCCGTAGTCTGTTTAGATTTCTGGCGGGCTGTCGTTCCATAATTATCACAGAACCTTGTGAGCACACTCCAGGTAGTAATGAAGCTCAAACGAGCCGCCCGGTCATCTATCTTTTTTTCCATTCAACAATCTGGAAAGGATCTCACTATCCTGTATTTGGGATGCCATTCAAAATATCCAGAGGGCAGTTGTTCAAGTGAAATAATAGGATCGTGTGCACATATTGGTATTTTTAAGGAAAGAATGTTAAAATCCATCGTGAACAACAAAGTGTTCCTTTTTAATTTTTTTAATCCCCAGACAGACAGACTGGACCTTTTATGGAGACGTCAACTACCGGTTTCTACAAAGGAAATACTGGAGAGTCTGGAAATTGATGATTTTGCTTCGAACCATTTCAATTGTGTAAAAAGATGTGCGCCCCGGGAAAACGACATTGTTCGACCGACCAATTATAAAGGACTAGTAGTACTTCCAACAACCAGGCTGTTACCTGGTTACCGGCTGCTAACATTGGGATATTGGCATGTCCTACTACATGCGTGTATGCTTTCGTTGGAAAATTGTGTGGGAACGTGACTGTACAATGACTATTTTCATGCGTTAGGCCCGAGAAAGATTTTCTGTTCTGTTTTTTTAATCTTAAAGACGTCTAGAACTGTTAATCTGGAGAATTTGTGTCATACTTGGTCAACCTTGTGTTGCCTCCGTCCGTTGTTTACGGTTTATGTAATAAAAATCTAGTCGATAAAGTACCATCTGTCGGTACAAAATTTATAATAGACAACGCGCTGAAATCAACTCATGGATCGTTATTGGTGAAAGGTGTACGCCGGAAAACGTTTTTGTCAGGTAAGGATTTGCCTGCGTCATTTTGCGCAGACAGGGTCTGACAGCTCAAGTCACTGCAACAAAGCCTCCCATGACCAGGGCAAAGGTACCTAGAATTGAACTTGCCTCAATCGTGAGTCTGGCTCTTGGAGTTTCGACCAGATTACATTTGTTTTCAATCAAGATTAATATAGTAGTATTATTCAGTATCGATTTCTTTCCCGGGCGAACTTTATTGTCAATCGTGTGTCAGTTGCAGCGTGCATGCAGACATATGTTCACGTGTCTGGACTGGATCAAACAGAAAGGCGGTTGGGATTCACGACACCCCATCTTATCACGTTGGCTACAAAGTGACTGGCTCCAGCTGAGCAAAGCCTAATTTCGCTGTACCCAAATCCTAGTACTGCCTGGGACAAGTGCTGACCAAGCATCTATGAATGGCTGGAGTAATTCTGGAATAAATGCTATTCATAGGGGGCCATATAGGAATTGAACCCGAACATTTTTTAAGACGAGCAGAAATGAAAGCAATGAGATCAAAATTCCATACCAGATTAGTAGAGAATTAAGCTAAATTTAGCAGAATACCTTTGGCAGTGGGGCTGCGTTCTAAGTTGATGCCTAGGTATGTTGATCACAATTAAAGATGGGCGTACAGCAGAGTTAAGTTGCGTGGACCGAAAGACATTTCTGCCTCATGACAACAATAAAACAAGAAGAAAACGTACATTCAAACTTTGTGTTTGCTGCATTTTTATTGCAGTTATTATTTTAATTTTAAACCAATCACCAATAAAGACTAATGAAGTTAAAATCGAAATGATGGATAAGAGGAAGAACGGGGGCTAAACGCTAGAAACCTGAGCAAGCTATGTTCTTTAATTTATTTTTTCAATCACTTTGAAGCAAGCACTTGATGCGGTGGGTATCCAGGGGGCGGTACCTGACCTGACTGGTAACTGACACTTGTTTAATTGCCTGACGATAAAGTGGTCAAGTTCAGGTATTAGCGGTTGGCCTATATTTAGATACTTATGTAATCGTCAGTCCTCAATTGTCATAAACCATGTTATTTCTGCTAATGACGAGTAATTAAATTCTAACTGGAACATTTTTCATTTATTCGGGAAGATGTCTCAGTATCTTTACTAAGGAGCTGTCATTATCAGACATTATTAAGTAAGGTGATGACACATTCTTGTCAGTTTGATTTGTATACTGACTATTGGTAATTTTGTTTTAAATTCAAAGAAATGTTGGTAAACAACAGTGTCAGAATTCCACTTTGGACAATTTAACGTTGTACAAGTACATGTATATGGCAGTACGCCAACAGGAAACCTTCACTCGTAAATGTTTTACGCAAAATAGAGGTGTTCAACATTTCGGGGTCTAAACTCTACAGCGTCTTCCTGGGTTAACAACTCACTAACAGGGCCCTCACTTGCTTGGAAAAAAATCAATTTCAAATGTTTAAACTTGCGCTTTATATTAAAAAAAACAGTTATTTGGTATTACACTCTAAAAAAAACCTGGGTCAGACTGACCCGGAATAAGGGTCCCACGATAATATATTAGCATCTCAGTTAGAGCATGGCTATTTTGCTGCACAGGCCTCACTTATAAGTAGCGGTGGGTAGTCGGATCGGGTGCTACAGCTTTGCATACACCCTCTGCTGCCATTTTGGCATGAAAGGTCGTTATTCAACCATTCCAACGACTCTGTGCTCCGTGGAACCAATATAGAGAAATTGGCAAACAGTAACAAAGTGTCTCTCTTGGGTGCAGAGGCTAAACGAGACTGGATATACAAGCACAGTTAGGTAAAGGATGTTGCTCGACAGTAAACATGGGTCTACACTCTGGTTTGGCTAAGGGGTTAAACCTTCGAAAGGTTCTTCGTGCTGCTGACAACATTATTTCAGTCATTGGGGTTTAAAAAGGTAATTGACAAAGAAATCCCACCATGTGTGGTGTTAAAAGTATTACTCGTTCCTGCCAGCCAAGGACGAAGCGCCGGTGGGTATGAAAATACGGAAATGAATTTTTCTTTTCATCATAGTACTGGTAAACTCCATCAACATAACCCTTCTGAGAGCCGTGACCAAACCGTCATTGGAATGTCATAATTACACAAGATATGGCGATGATAATGATACCTCGGGGTTTGTGTTTTCACTGAAAACCCTCCCAGAGCAATTTTGACGGCCGAACATAGCGCATACTTGTGTTATATTAATGGAGTCGATTTTTGTGTCCGGGAAAGAGAAACGCATTAATGCATCGTCTACGGAGCGTATAGAATGTACATGTACATAGAATGTACACATGAAAAGCCGCCAGGACTGTGGTGTTATCACAGATGAGGGGGCAGATTGAACGGGACAATTTCGTTTTTCCCAAGCAAAACTTCCAAGGCTTCCCATTGCCCATGATTGCATCTTGTTGAGAAATTTAACACTCCAAGGAGAAAAAAACGATTTTTTTTATTTCTCAAAACATCCTGATCAGGCATTCAGTCGCAAGATGAATATTACGACCGCGGATGGGCTTCAGAGAGTCAAATTTTTGCCACCAGAAATTGGAACTCGTCTGGGAATGCCTACCTTTAGGGTCGCTGTATGCAAAGGCGCCGTAGGCGAGACACCCCAGGAGAACAAGAACGGCGAAGGTCTTCATGACTTCCATGTAAATGCTACCGTTGGGAGGAAATGAATAAAATTGAAAGATTACAACCGCGTCGGTAACAAAGCCAGTTGCAGATCCAGGGTGTCGACCTCCCACCCCTGCTCTGAGACAAAAAAAAGAATGCTTAAAAAATAGGGACACTATATATATATAAAAAACTAACGTAAGTTCATGATTACCAATGTTAACAATGTATTTCGTGCAATGTTTCACAAACATGTAATGTTTCACAAAATCAAGAGTTTGCCGTGAACAGGCTTCTTTTCAAGTTTACCGTCGACACAGCGCACTTCGTACGTCATTGATGGTATTTGGTTGATTGAGGCGTTCCCTTCACCATACAAAACCACCATATTGACCCAAAACCCGTTTGCAATAAGCAATGAGGAATTTTCAGCCAAGATAAATAAACATTCGGAAAATTCAAGTTTTCCGCGCACAACGCAGTTAGCGAATGAGACTTTGTCGACTATTGCTATCCTATAATGCACCGTGAAAAGGCCTTTCCACAAACTCTTACTGGCGCACTGCATTCATTGTGGATCTCCCGTATTCTTTCATAAAATTGAAATTAACAGGATACCATTTCAACTTGGCAGTATTTATGATATTCTGAGTTTATAATGATCTGATATGGAATACCTTACAATACATCTCTCGGAAAAACTCACAACCCATCCCCCAGTCAACAAACTTCACAGAGCAATGGTCTCAAAGATAGTCACTGTACTGACGAAGGATTTGTCATTGAATTCATAGGAAACGTTACAACCTAGCTATGACATCTGTCCACAGTATAATTCCCAATTCCGAGGAGACACCATTCCTGAGGGGGACCCCCGCACTTAGTACACTCTTGATTCGAGCGCGCACGCGCGCACTTTGGCAAGTGAAGACACCCTATTGGACGGAGAGGAATGCAACGAGGGCGTACCACCTGCTGATTCCTTTCGCCTGATTTGTCAATAATATTTAGGCCTAGTTGAGAAAGTCCAAACGGTGGGCGCTTCAGGTGAACCAGTCTAAATAGACCACGTGCGCCTAACAGCTTCTTGTCAGTAACTCGGCATTTTTTTGGATGGATTCTGCTCAGTGTGTATGAGCCGCAAAAGGGGGGGGGGTCAAGAACGTTTCTGTAGAAACTACACGCACCACGCAAAGCTGGGACTGTCCTGAAGACATGTAAAATGAGACTAGCCTACTTGTGTAGAAACACAACTGTTGCACTGATGACAAAACCGAGTGCAAGGGTTTTATGGTAATTTCTGTTTGCAAAACCTTGGCGGTGCATACACCAAACACGCTGAGAGTGTATGTGGGTCACTCTATAAATCTGGGGTCAGGCGTATGACAGTTTTCCGTCTTTGTTACACCTAACACGTATATACCTTGACCATTATCGCTGAAATTGATCTCAAACTGTTTTTATTTGTTTGGCAGGTAATGTGTAGTTCTTATTCAATCTAGGAATTTAAAGAACGGGTTATAAACCTTAAAAAATCATATGCCAGATGTAAGAGAGACTGCAACAAATTTGGGCGTGAATTTATAGAATGACCCATGTGTGATTCACAGTCAAGGAACTTTTGCACGTTCGTAAAAACATGGCTTTACAACAACATTACGCGACCTATTTGGCTCACAGAACACAGAATAAGTGCTGTATAGGCCAGAGTGCCTGTGGTAACAAGGCAGTATGTGTACTGAGGATACAGCTGTGTATGAACACGGTGCAAAAACAGTGATGGATGATGATTCATGCTGCCAGATTAATCCACGAGGTTCTGTCTTTTATTGAAAATGGTTACTTTAAGCTTGCGAATATTTCTGTGTGCACAAATGTTAAGCATTATTTAGGCTCCCTATATATATACAGCTGAGCTCTTGGTCCTTATCTGGGTCTTGTTGCACATTCCAGGATATTACAAAACTATAATAAAAAAGAGAGCAAAACGTTTATGCCTGGAGAGATCTGCAGGCCGACATGTTATTGATGGATGTCGTGCCCAATTAGCTGAAGGGATTCATCAGCAACTGGAATGAGATACAAACGCCCAAAATCGAATATGCAATATCTAAAATTACAAACGAACAAAAAACACATAAAAAGAGCATGAAAAGCTAGACGTAGGATAGGGCACATGCAGAAACTGAGGACTACTGACCCCCTACCTCCTAAGGTCTACTAAGCCCCTAAGGGACTTGGTGTCTCTGTAACAAGAGCTGCATGATATCTCCAAGATCGACAGAAGACAACTATCCGGTAACTTAACCACTGCTATCAATAGTGAAGACGGCGCGAATCTCTCGGCATATTATGTAAAATATCTGGTGACTCTTTTGCTGCCTTACTGTCTGCCCGAAGGGTTTTTCCCTTTAACTAGGCATTATATACATGTATTTTGATTATTATTCAGCTCCTTTTTCAGAAAGGTGCTGTTGATGGATCAGTACGAATCCATTGTTTCATCTTTCCGTCAACGATCACTTCTCATTTTAATAAAATAAAAATATATTTGAAAACCACAGGAAAATGCGATTCTCAACAATCTACACTTAAATACTAGATGTAGACTCGTGAATGAGATTTAGACATGGATCGATCATATAAAATCCCTGCCATCAACTTTTAGAGTTAATTTTCCAAAACAGACAATGAAAATGTCTACCAGTCCCAACATCTCATATCACATTGTATGTGTGTGTGTTTTGAGGTATTTCCATAGAATTATCTTCAATGCAAACGCTGATAAGAGCACCACTTTTCGTATTTTTTTGCTTATTCATTGTATTGAATGGTTTAATTTGTTTGCAAGCATAAAGGTGGTACCGATGGAGTCTTTTTTTTTCTCAATGTGGTCCCAACTGGTTTGGTTTGGCTGCATATAACGACATGGAATATTTTCCAAGGGTCTGTGTCTCCTTCATGAATATTTGTCCACCTCCCCTACCACCTCCAATATCCTGACTTAAATTTAATTGAGACTTAATTTAAAGCTTGGTTCCTGAATGAAATTGCTCACTCATAAAACAGTTGTGAAGCGGTTCCGGTCTGTGGTGGATTTAGATGGGAAACGTCTTTGACTCGATGTTTTACACAGTAAAAAGATTAAAAATATCAAGCGTTTAATGTATTATCCCCTCAAATCGAAGATTCAAGTTTGAAAGACGAAATAAAGATGCAACGTGCCCGTACTTAATTGACACATCTCCGATTATATAGACCACTCTGAGAAAAATGCATTGCAGCTTTGGTATTCTACCAGAGTGGAACCGAGAGAGGGTGCAATTTTCCTAGTTACAGTGAGAACTGCACTTCGCCGGTTCACAAACGACTACCCAGTCAATAGAATGCACCTTTGTAAATACTCTTCCGTTCAATGGCCTTAACGACAATTTCTGCTCCGTTCCGAGGTACACACCTTTGACTTGTGTGATCTACTCACCGGCCGCGTCAGTAAAGCGCAACAGCGCCATCATGCTTTGGAGAAAAAAAATAGATTTAAACATTGGTTTCAAATTGCCAAATAAGAGACCTCACTTCGCACAATAAGTTTCTTTCTTATTGTATTTATTTCATTCAGTCTTTTTTTTTTTGTCTTTTTTTGTCTTTTTAAAAATTTCTCCCCATACTTTTATGGGAATCGTTCTTAACGGTCCTAGACAAAAACATGAAACATTTTTGAACGTGAACATGTCGAATCATTCACTGCGGAAAGAGGAAAGAGGCACAAATCTGTAGCATCCATAGTCTTGAGTAATACAGTGCAGAAAACTCAACTTTACCCAAGCATATTCATTTGAGAAAGGACTCCAATTAACCGCAGGAAATATTGTCCGAGATAGTGGCGTCGGGGATTACAACGCTGAAGAGGAATACGGGTTTCAGATAATTAATATGTACTTGGCCAGTCTTAAAAATTAGTTTAATATACCGTATAAGGAGAAAGGACGCCTGATAATGTCCCTAGTCGAAAGCAGGGTACATTATAAGCGCCCATTACGACTATCCAAGCACAGTGTCAAAATTATTTATTCCCATTCATAAGTCAGAGAGTCAAACAACCGGGCAAAATTAAAAGTTTCAAACGATTGTGTGCGACAATTTACCTCTTTTTTACACCCGTCTAGCTATGTTATGGTTTGTGCCTTTTGCAAATAGTTGTATGCAATCTCCTTTTGTGGAGATTTCCACGTACATGGCGCGAACAGCGTGAGGTGTCGCAGAACATGTGTCATGTGAACTCGGGCTCTCAAAATGTGGACTAAAAGGTTGCATACAGCAAACGCAAGTAAAGATTGTAAACGTTCATCCAATACAAGAGAAAAAGAACAGAATTAACAGGAGTCTTAATTTCATGTGAAACCAAAAGTGTTTCAGATAAACAAGCCAATGTGTATCAACTGTTGAAGTACTGCAACGCGACATACGTTCGACCAAATTGAATGGTTTAACTGCCTGAGGTATTTATAACATAAAAATGCACAGTAATTGCTAATTCAGTTTCAGCGTCTCTTATTCCTCGGCAGAATAAAGGCAATCAAATTCACAAAACAGTCGTTGAAGCGTGGATATGAATCAAGTCCGCCGAAGTGAACAAGGCCACAGTGCAGGCGGACGACGATGCTGCGTCCGTGAGCAACATGACAGCGACGCTTCCCAGAGGACGAGGTTGAAAGAGATTGCATCTCAGCTAAGGCTGCTCAAAATGTCAAGAACACTGTAAAACACACAGCTTTATACCCGAAGGCCAGTGTCTTTCTGCCTAATAATTGAATTTATAAAAATAATAGGATTATTGCAAGGCCATTGTTGAGTTGGGGAAACTTTGATTACGACTGATGTCGTCAATGTAGGCGAAAGAAGTATAAGATCGTGTCTAGTCCAGAAATTTCTAACGTCAATAAAATATTGGGGGGGGGGTTCGGACAAGTGGCTGCACTGCTCTGTTGCGCATGGCATATCAAATTAAAAATGTTTGTGACTGACTACGGATTTACAAAATG